CCCCCGCATCGGCAGGCGGACTCTCAACCACTGTGCCACCAGGGAAGCCCAGCTTTTGGCTTTTTGCCTGTTGGAGTTTCTGATCCCTTCCACTGTGGGCAATCTTCCCTTCACCACCCCTCTGTTCTCTCGAAGAAAGAGAAAATTCACTTGCCTTTCCCTTCTTTGCCCAGTAAGAAAAAAAGCAGGCTTAAATCGACTTAGCAATTATATTATTGCTAACATAGTTTTACATTTAAAGAGGGAAAAAATATAGTGAGTAGGGAGAGAAAGTTACTTGCAGGAAATACTAATGATTTCTGCTTCTCAAAATAAGTAGTGGAGTGTTGTAGTAATAGTAAAAGGAGATAACTTTTAAGTTATGTAAGAATATTCAAATGGGGAGGGGGAAGGGTAAGCTGTGACAGAGTGAGAGAGTGGCATGGACATATACGCTACCAAATGTAAAATAGCTAGCTAGTGGGAAGCAGCCGCATAGCACAGGGAGATCAGCTCGTTGCTTTGTGACCACCTAGAGGGGTGGGATAGGGAGGGTGGGACGGAGGGAGAAGCAAGAGGGAAGAGATGTGGGAACATATGTATAACTGATTCACTTTGTTATAAAGCAGAAACTAACACACCATTGTAAAGCAATTATACTCCAATAAAGATGTTAAAAAAAAAGAATATTCAAATATTTATCCAGTAACATGTTTACAGTTATATATTGATAAGATCGAAAACTCATTGGAGATGCTGAGAAGATTCAGAGTAAAGTTGAAATAACCGAGAGGTTAATCCAGGGGGAGGGATAATGAAGTGATTCTTCAGCAGTTTTGAAGTAGATGAGGGAGACGGATGCACCTCGATACAGAGGTTATTCCAGATGGAGGGCAGTGTTGTTAAATCGCCGCAACGCAGAACAGGCAAGGCAATGTGCAGGGGCCTGGGGGGTGCGTTTTGTTAATTCGAGAAGAGAGCTTGTCCAGAGAAATAATAAGAAGATATTGGTAAGACTGGGGAGAAGGTAGCGTGAGAGGAATTTGTTGAATGGATAACTTGGATTTTAGTACAGTTTATTTGGCAGCATAATTGTGACTGAAAAAGGGAAAAAATATGTTCTGATTAATGGCTAGGTTTTTTTTTTTAATTTGGTAATTTAACATTTTTTCTAACGATTTCCCCCATCTTTCAATTTAAGCTTATTGCAGAAGAATTTTGTCTAAAAACATTTTCCAGGCTTGGAGCACAGCCTATACCAGGTAAATGAAATTTAATATGAATCCTTTCTCCTGTTTGCCATAATCAGTATACTAATTATACTAGAGGTATTTGTAGATGTAGTAAGTTGGGGTAATCCAGAGGAAATGCATCTTTAAATTTTTTATGTTATATCGCAATATACAACACTTTCTGATGAATTCATAACAAAATTTCCCTTTATTATCTGCCTTATTTAAATGAATTCTATTTTGAAATCTGTCATATTCAAATGTTCAGCTCATATTCTGAGAACATTGTTACAAAATGTTATAAAATGCCCTAGTTAACTACAAATCTTTATGTAAAATAATTTTCTTTGAGAAATACTTAATATTTACGTAAAATAGTTTTCTTTGAGAAATATTTAGTATTCTAGAATATTTTAAATGTAAATCAGTGTGAAGTCAGGCACCTTAGTAAGGATAGATCTTCTTTTAAAGTGGCCAGCAGCAGTGGAATATTTGTAGGGCTGTGAGTGTGGTTATATATTATGTTTATGTATGTAAGTGTATCCCTGTGAGAGGGAAATTACATTTTTTCTGCATGGAGTGATTTCAGAATGGGTTTCTAAAACCAGTGGAAGTCATTTAAGATTTGAAGATTGTGTTGTTTCTCAAACATAATGCTTTACATGTTCTACTCCATTTTGAGTATGAACACATTAATAAAAATAAATCCTGTATCATAAAAGCGAGTCCATATCAGCTGGATGTGGTGTGACTGTGTTCTCAGGGAGGCCAGCTGGGTTTAGCTCTTCTTAAACACCCTGGGGCTCATCCTCTGCGCCACCGAGACTGGCAGTCCTGGGAGATCAGGATTGGAACCAAGTTCCAAGGTCATGAGACAGACCCAGGGCAGGGGCAGCGTGTCCCTCCTGGCGAGGAGCCACACCTTCTTCAAAAGCCTCCTTGTCCCACGGGCAGGAAGGAATCCCTGTGTCAGCACTTTCTTGCCAGTGGGCGTGCCTCCTGGGAAGCACAGCACAGGACCTCTGCTCTACTCTGGTGTGAGGAGCTGGATGGAGGAGATGTGTAATGGCGAGGCACTACCTTGTGGACCCCCTCCCCGTGGGCAGGAAGCTTCCTCCTACTGGGAGCCTCGCCTCTGAGATGAGACACCTCGGCAGCCAGACGAGTAATCCTCCCTCTTCTCTGGGGAGTGTTTGTGCTTTTCTGCCTCTTGCCCCTTTTCTGGTACACACAGTATTTCTTTGTTTTTTTACACAGTATTTCTTTGGTTATGTTAATATAAGTAGCCAGGTTGCAGCGGTGTGACTTTGTATATCTGTCTTCCGATTGGAACTTACAGTTGAATTTTCAAAGGGGAAATTTTTTTTCTCACATTTCCTAGTTCCTGTTCTGATACAGTTGGAGTATGTGTTTGGAAAAACTTACTGTACCACACTGTATCTCACACATTAGTTGTGAATCTCTAAACTGCCAATCAAATGGCTTATATTATTTTTATTTTTGTAAGAGTTTACTAAATTATATGAACAGTATGTCTTCATTATAAAAATTGAAAAGAAGAAAATAGAAATCACCCTAATGTTAACACAGACTGTTATATTTGGTATATTTTTTTCCGTGATAGGAGATGCATAATGATTGAAAATTGGGGTTGTGTTATATAAACAAAGGTTCGTTTCTTTTAATTCACAGTATTACATGTTGATCATTTTCTAATACAATTAAATATTCTTTGAAGAACAGAGTTTAATGGTAGTATTTCCTCGTGAACTCCCAGGTAACATTTTTCTCCATTCCCCTCTTAAAGAAGAAGCGTGCTTGATGGCAGAGGTTGATCACGTGCCTCTAGGACATGGTACACCCCTGGGGTGGAGGGCAGGCTGAGTGAGGAGTGGGGCAGAGCAGGGGGAGGGGGTCATGGAGGAAGGGGCTCCAGGAAGGCTTCGAGCAGAGGAGACTCTTGGACCTCCTTTAGTATCTTTGATGGCCGTATGGTGTAGACTTTCTTTTTCATTACTTTAGTCTATTTTTCTTGAATTTATCATTGTTCTAAGACTGAATCTTGTCTGAGCTTCAATAAAAGTTTAATACGGAATGCTGCAGGGTTTATCCTTGTGTATACATTTTTGTGTTTCTCTGATTATTTCTTTAAAATCACTTCATAAACGTTGTTCTTTTTTTTGTTTTCTTTTGGCCACACTGCGCGGCTTGTGGGATCTTAGTTCCCCAGCCAAGGATTGAACCCGCGCCCTTGGCAGTGAAAGCGTGGGATCCTAACCATTGGACCTCCAGGGAATTCCCATAAACATTGTTCTTGATATAGATTGCTCTCTGGAAAGTTTGACCAGTTTGTATTCCTACCAGCAGTGCATAAACATACTCATTTCATGGGACCGTTAGCTATAGAGATTCTTTTAAGTCCCTGTTCTTCAATGGGTCTGTAGGTGTAGGCATTACTCAGACTATATATGAAGCAAATATTAAAGTGCTCATAGTGATGGGGTTAATGTTTAACAGTTGCTCTTGAGGTTTATATTCTGATTTCAAAAGTAATTTCTAAGACATTGAATGTTCTTTTTAAAGTTTATTTTTAACAGCTGTATTGAGATATAATCCGCATACCCTTCAATTCGCCCATTTAAAGTCAACAGGTCAGTGTTTTTTAGTATATTCACAGATACGTGCAGTCATCATCCACAGCCAGTTTTAGGGATGTGCTTGTTCTGTGTGAGAAATTTCAACAAGTTAGCTTCTTGCTTCTTTCAAAGAGTGGCTTTAGTGTGGAATAGCCCTAATGGAGGCATTGCCGTGTGGTAAGCAGGGAGTGAGACGTTTAATGAAAAGTCTCAGATTCAATGATCTCAGTGATTGTGAACATGAACAAGGCCATCTTGAAGAATTTTGAAATTAGGGGTTTCCTATTAAGAACTCTGAAAATAATCTTTCTCTATTTTTTTCACATAGCTAAAAGACCAGGTTCAGGACAAAGCTTGGCTGCTGTTGTGTCTGCTCAGAAAATTACAAAGCCTGCTGCTAAATATGGAGTCCCTTTAACGTATAAGAAATATGGAGATAAAAAATTACATGAAAAGAAACCACTCCAAAAACATAAACAGGTATGATGATCATGCTACAAACTGTGTATTAATAGCATGCTCAATTTGACCTTATTTTATTGTAGCTCAATTCAGTTAATCTTGATATTCATAGGATTGTTTTTATTAAGTTACTAAAGAACATTGTTCTCTGCTTCACCAGTCTTCTAAAACTTGGGAGACTTACAGAAGTCATAAAGAAACATTAGTTAAGTAAAGTAGCTGGTGCAGTAAAAAGAAAGTAACATTATAAATGAAATCATTTTTGAATAACCTAAGCAGAGCCATTTGTCTTTGTGCCTAAAATAAGTAAATATCTTTGATAAACATAAAAATCTGGGGAAATTTTGAATTTAAGAATTCACGATGAGATAAATAAAATCATAGAGCTGGAGGAATATGATCATATAGTCTGTCATATTTCAGATGAAAATTAAGGCCTGTAGCATTTAGGGGTTGTGTCTAAGAACATAGAGTATTAGTTGCAGGAATTTGCTATTTTTCTTCACGTCACTAGCTGTGTTCTCTGGTATATGGAACCTGTTGGTTTGTGCTGCATATGCACATGCATACGTACACGTACTCACACATGTAGTTACAAAGGTGTGTGTAATGCTGTAAGACAGACCTCCTAGTAGGGGTGGTCCGTCTCTTTGGGTAGAAGCTATGATAAAGTAGTTCAACATGATCCCTGTAAAGCAGTCTTCAAATAAGTTGTGTAAGTCAGCATCCGGTCAGGAGACAGAAAACATAATAATTTGATAGGGGGAAGTTTGGTGTAAGTCATTATGATCTGTTTTTAGGTAATTGACTTCTAAGGGGTAAAGAGAACTCTAAAGAATACAGGCCTAGCAGACAGACGCAGGAAGCAGGCACTGCTCCTGGTGCAGAGGCAGGGCCCCATAGGAGAGACAGAGGCCAGAGTATCACCCCGCCTGCCCTTAAAGCCGAGACTCAGAGCCTGCTGGGTGTGGATGGAGGTGACCCCTGGGTAGTGGAGTTCCCTGAGGTGCCAGGGCCGAGGCTGGCAGATGCGAGACTGTCCATTGTGGAGCTGCTCAGACTCCTGGAACCTTCATAGGGTGAACCTTGCTGAGAGGCCCATGGAGAAGCCTGCCGGGCACTGCTGGGCTCTTTGGGCTGGGCTGCCGGCTGGGGCACCGGGTGCGGCGGGCAGCTGGCCTCGGGGCTGCCGCTGAAACTCGCAGAGAGGCTGCCGGGGGTACTCTGCCTGTAGGGGTGGTGTCACCGCATGTCCCGCACCCACAGGGACAAGAGGAAGAGAAGCCCTTTCCTTGTGCAGCGTCCGTCCCTCCTACATGGTCTGCGGACAAAGCTTTCATCCTGCTGCAGGCCTGAGGTTTGCCCTGTCCAGTTCCAGGGTCACGAGCAGGACAGTGAAGGGTGAACTGTGAGCTGAGGGACATTGTGACAGCTGGCACACCGCGTTTGTGTTTCTGGGTTGTTGGGTTTTTTTTGCGGTATGCGGGCCTCTCACTGTTGTGGCCTCTCCCGTTGCATAGGCTCAGCGGCCATGGCTCACGGGCCAGCCGCTCCGCAGCATGTGGGATCTTCCCGGACCGGGGCACAAACCCGTGTCCCCTGCATCGGCAGGCGAACTCTCAACCACTGCGCCACCAGGGAAGCCCTGTGTTTCTGTTTTTTGGTACCATGTTTATTCAGGCCTAAGTGGAGCAATTCCATCATAGCCTTTAGCCCTCTTTTCTTTAGTCACCACAAGACACCCAGTGCCCCCAGCGTGCCCTCATTCCATAGCCTCTCAGCTCCCTAAGGCTCTGGCCCTCCCCTGATCCAACCCCTGAACCCTTCCACAGAGCCTTGGAGAGCACATCATCAGCAAAATCCCCTGTGTTCTAACCTTGTCTAGAGTGTCTTCACCTCTTTTGTTCTAAAACCTGGCTTGCCCTGAACACTGTCATGCATCTCTCTTGGGGACCATTTTCCCTCTGGTCCCTCAGTCATGCTGGGCCTAGAGGTGGGACGATGGAGGCGTGGTCCTCGCTTGTCATTGCCAGACTCTCCCCTGCTCCCTAAGACACTCCGCCAGGCTTCGTGTCAGCTGCTGCGCCTCCGTGAGGGTCATCCTAGACACTTCCCTGCACGGTCATGATTCTTGGTGACTTCACTATTTGAGAAGATGACCCTTGCAGTAGTGCACGGCCTTGTTTTCTTGATGGTTCTCTTTCATCAGTGATCGTGTCTCCTGCCTCACCTTGGAACTCTCCCCTGTAGTCATGCCATCACATTTGTCATCATAAGAGCATCTATTTCGTAGTCTCAGTTACAAGTACCCCACTCTCTGACCACTACTTCCTGTGTTTTCAGCTCATTCCCTGAGGACTCTGCCACCAAAACTTCTTTGTTCTGTTGGATCCGTGGATCTTAGCTAGTTTTTTCATTGTCCATCCGTTCTTCATTTTTATTTTCTGTCTCCGGCTTTAAGTTCATGTTCTCTCGTTGTAATAGTTTCCAGAACCTCGACTGTCTTGCCCCAGTGGAATGTAGTGGGGAAAACAGGCAGCTGTTCTAACTGGTCTCGCTTTAAATTTAAACCCCCAGCGTCAGGCAAGCACTGCCGCCACCACCCTGTTACGTTTCCACAGTCCAGTTCCCCTCCCACTTTCCAGGATGGTTATCTCCTGCTTTCTCCTTGCTCTTCACCTCAGGATATGGCCTTGCTTCCTATTTCACTGAGAAAACAGAAGCAAGTAGAAGGAAATTGCCCACACTCAGCAGCCCTCCTGCCAGTCAGTCTTACACGTTTGTAAATATCCTGCCTTTCTTCCTGTTACTTTGCTGATCTGTTTGTGTTTTGATCCAGAGCCGACCCAGCTTTTGTGGACCATCTGTTGTTAGTATTTCTGCCTACTAAAGGACTTCACCCTCTCTTCTGTATCATATTTTTCCTCTCTCCCGAATCATTCCTGTTAGCAAACAGACATGTTATATCTTCAGTCTTCTTAACAAAATCCTCCCTCCCATGTCTCCCTGGATCCAGCCCTTTCCCTGTATCTATGCTCCTTTAATGGCAGAACTTCCCCCAGCCTTGTCTGTACATCTTCACTTCCTTGCTTTCCCTTTCCTCTTGCTTTGTCACAGCTGTTAGGACGCGGCTCCTGGCGAGGACCGCAGGGAGCCCAGTTGGGTACGTCCAGGGGTCAGGTGTCTTGTTCCTCTGCCTCAGTTTTGGACTTACTGATTACCTGCTCTTCCTTAAACGTTCTCTTCATGTGAGTCCAGATACCACACTCTGCTGACTGTCCTCCTCCCTGCCTGCCTGCTCCTCTTGCTGTGGCGCAAGTTCCTCCTGCTGTCGCTGACCCCTGACGCTTGAGAGCTTCAGGATGCCGGCCGGGGACGCCTCCTCCCCAGGCCATCCTCGCGCTTTGACAGCACCTGTAAAGCGACACATCTGCGTCTCGAGCCTGGACTCCTTTCCTGAACTCCAGACCTGTGCTGTCCTCGCATTTCTAACCGGGTGTCTGACCGGCATCCCAGCGTGAGGCTGTGTAAGTCTGAACGCCAGGTGCCGTGCCGTCCCCAGGCTCATCGTTCTTGTCTTGCCTCACGCTCCTGAAGTCTGCTGACACCCCGTCACCGTCACATCCTGTCCACCGCCTGCAGAACCTGTCCTGTTTGCAGTCTGACTGCTGCTCGCCGCTCTGTCAAACACTGGTCCAGGCCACCTCGCCCTCCCCGGCCTGACCTCACTGCTCTCAGACCGGCGTCCTGCGTCTGTCCGCACACAGCAGCCTCAGTGCTGCTCTGATGGTGAAGGGTAATCGTCGCCCTTTCCTGCTCAAGAGGTGCCAGCAGCCTTTCCTCCCGCTCAGAGAAGGTGCCCTTGTTACCTCCGCAAGTCTCATCTCTGCTCCCTCCTTGCTAGTCTCCATCCAGCAGTGCTCATGAAACCTTGCTGTCCTCGGACATGCCGAGCACTTATCTGCGGAAGAGCACTTGCACTTGCTCCTCTCTTTTCCTGGAGGACTCTCTCTCTCTTGCATGGTTTTCTTCCTTCCTTCCGGGCTGTGCTCACAACTCTATGGATAGAACCACCATCCACCCTTCTGGCCCACCCCCGCAGCTCCGTCTGCTTTTTCCTCCGCTGTTTTTCTTGCATGTGCTTGTTTCTAGCCTCCTCCATGGAGGTGTGAAACTGTGAGAGCAGGGGTGATGTTGTTCACTGGTGCCTGAACCAGTGGGGCCCCCAGTAAACACTGACTGGATAAGTGAGTGATGAGTGGATTAGAGAGCACTAACTTAGAGTTTGTCAAGTCATTCAAGTGTTAATTCTTTAAAAGAATGAATAACACCCAAAAGTTGTTAGTAAAACTCTGTGCAGAAGCCATTTTGTTACCGTTGTTAGCAAATTGATAATTATTAGAAAAACAAAACCAAGAGAGAAAAAATGATAATGACCAACTCCTGAGCACACTGGGATGTGTCTGTACTCCGTAAGGTCACAGGAGGAAAAAAATAGACTCAATAGCTATTTTCTTCAGTTAGGAAGACAAGTAGTCTGCTAAGATGATTATCGATAGTTGTACTGAAGAGACTAAAACTTAATATGATCCCTTTAACTTTCTCTTGTAACCCAAATACATACTTGGGTGGGCTTGTAGAAGGTCATTTGCCTTATCTCTGGGCCAAGTGTTCACCTGACCAAGTGGAGAGATCAGAGCACTTGGTGAGGCTGGGCTGAAGATGCAGCAGGTGGTCCTCACCCTTGGGTGGGATCGTAGCCAAGTGTTTATTCTTTCACACGGCTGTGGTCGAATCAAACAGTATGTTGGTGTTCTTAATGTTTCCCTCATGTGCAGGTAGCATTTATTCAGTATGCAAGAGCAGCATGCTGTGGTATTTTCAGATTCCAGTTAATAATATCCTGAATAGCAGATACCATCCCATCAAATAGTTAGTGACAGGTACATGATTCAGGTGATAGTTATAAGAGTTTTGGAGTTCAGGCAAGGTTGTTGCCCTTAAAGTTTTTAGGCATT